ACTACACTTCCAGTCCTTTCTGAAGACATTTTCTCAAACTCTGCACAAAGTAGGGGGGAGGAATGAAATCAGGACCCAAAAAAAAAAAAAAAAAAACCCACTTCATTACACATTCAAAACCCTTCTCGTTTCTAACCCTAATGTTTCTCAGAGGACCCTAAATCAATCACAGAAAGGGAGAAAGGAGAGAAACACTTCGATTAACTTGAAATCAGAAGTCCGTCTATAGTACCTGATTTCGGTTTCGAAAGATTTGATGTAGAGATCCCCAGTTGTTACCGCAGTTCACGAACAGAAAATGCACAATGAAGCTTCTCGCAGAAGTTTTGCAGGAAAAGAAATGCAAGTAAATCTTTTTCTGCCGAAAAAATGCCTATTTATACTTCTGGGCGAAATTAGATCTCAATGGCTGAGATTCGTTTAATCTTACGGTCCCTGTTGACACCGTTTGGAATTCAACGGACAACCCCAAACGATACTGTTTTGAACTTGACGGTTCATTTTTAAATTTGCCCGTTCAACTGTTGCAGTTATCTTTTTACGGCTGCATTTATTGCACATGTCATTTCAAGGACAACTGTCACACCACGTTGTCAGATTTTCCAGACGGACCCACTCACGCCCATTTCAACACCTTTGTTTGCTTTTCTTAATTTTGTCAAGTGTTTCACTTCGGCTCCGGCCATAATAATGCTGCATTACATTTCACATCGACTTCGGCCACAGTGATCCTGTATCACACATTTTACTTCAGCTCCGGCCATTATGACTCCGGTCATTATATTTTATTATGGCTCCGGCCATTTTGATTCCCATTTTTATATTTAAGCTTAGCTCAGCACTTCTGTTTACCTATACAATTACACTTTTAAACTGGCATAGTGTTTTACTTCGGCTCCTGCCACAGAGACACATGTTTCACTTCGGTTCTAGTTACTGTGACTAGATGTCACATACTCTACCTCGGCTCCGGCCATCATGACTCCAGTCATCATATCTTATTACGGCTCCGGTCATTATGACTCCGGTCATCATATTTTATCACCGCCCTGGCCTTTATGACCCCGGTCATCGTTTTTTATCACGGATCTGGTTACATTATGACTCCAGTTATCATTTTTTATTGTGGCTCCGGCCACCATGACTTCGGTTATCATCTCTTATTATGGCTTCAGCCACATTAACTCCGATCATTATTTTTACTATAGCTACGGCCACCATCGCTCTGGTCACACTTTCTTCTTATCGCACATGGCTATGTATGCATTCAAATTACAAATTTTATTTCTTCTTTTTATGATGTATCTGTATCCTCTTTGTTCTTACACTCTCCTCATTATCCCCAACAACATCATTCACAAGTGAATGACTGCGGGGGGGGAATAGTGTAAGGACAGGTCCGAGGTGCCAAGACTCGGACTGCTACAGTAATCCCTTTATGACCGAAGTGAGGAATGAATCCAAAGCTTCCCGCTCAAATAGCTGTATGATAACAACAACA